GGTAGCAAGAAAGATATAAAAAAGGCAATTTTGAGATATCACATGACTGTGTTGATCATGTGTGGACACTTATAAATTTTTTAAAATGTTGCACAAAATTCGCATCGGCACAAGTGAAAAACAAAGTTATTGTGAACGGCTTGTTGCATAAATCAATTAAGCGTATTCTTGGGTATATATAAAGTGCTGGGGGTAAGTCTGAATTTTATTTCTTAAGAAAATATTTCACGAGAAATTCAACTACCCACTTACAAGGGGTCATTTTCCACTCGTCATCGCAATTGATACAAAATGGGATAAATTACATACATTTCCCCCAGCAAAATTCAGTTAGAGGACATATTTCTCTAGTAGATTCACACAGAATATCTTCAATTAATCCTTTTTATTCACTTGTGCCAGTCTAATATATATAAGATTTATAAATTCTACTTCTATTTACGGACGTGTAAGGGGGAGCATTTCACATTTTTTTGTAATTGTTTGAATACGTACATGTTAGACAAGAAAAAGGAATAACGATATTATACTGCAAATATTTACCATCATAACAGCCTTAAAACAACAATCCTGACTCATGAATTAAACATCAACGTAAAGAAATTCTACATGTGACGTGAAAGGAATATAAAAGTTATGACACTTTCCCCGTCATGTCTGCTCAAATTTGCAGTTACTTGACGTCATATGCCATTATGACGTCATATCTAGGTAGTTCAGAGAAGTAACTACCGCTGGTACACTGTGACATTCTTCGGACATCCTTATCCTAGCCGCGAATTAGCATAGTCATGTCAAAGTCATTTCTTAATGCGTTTCTAAAACTACTCTCCATATATATTCCCGAAATAGTCTGACGCCGTACCCCCTAAAAACTTTCTATACAACTTGATATTTAATACCAATTGTTTCAGTAGCACACATGTAAGTTCGTTTGTCAGTATTTTCATTTTTTTTTACCGCGTAACTCTGTATTGAATAGATCTGCAACAATAAAGCGTCCATATTTCTTTCCATGACGTTAATAAATTGTGATCTCATTTTATGCTAATACTATATTTCCGCACAAATCGCATATCGTCTTTACATATTTATTGCTTTACTTTGAAACAAATCCTTCTATTGAAAAGACACATTTCCAAAAATACAGATAACTCATTTGTCGAGGTTCTCCTCTCTGTAATACTGTACTTATAAGCATCTAATATGAAAAGAATGTTTCTTTTTTCCAGATTCGCATCTTCTTCACCTTTGAAATTAATTTACGAATCGTATATGTAAATTGTGTTTAACGGTTACGTTGTATACGATTCGCAAATGTTTATGCTATTTTAAGCACAATATTAAGCCATAACATAATTGTGCGGAAAGAAATTGACCTTTTTAATTATTCTCACTACCTCATTCTCGTCATTTCATAGAATTTCTTTTCTATCTTCCTTATTAATCTTGAGAAACACACGGCCTCTAGCAGCATGACACTTTATCAAAACAAAATAATTTATGGATTAAACTACATTAATTTATATATACTCTGACTTTTGCGCAAACTGATTAATTACAAAAAATCCACCAACAGAGAATAAAATCTTTTAGATCTTTAATCGTATGATATATTGAAAAAAAAAATCATTACATATAAATGCGAAGGTTGTCCGGAAAAATCATGGAGAAAGCGCTTTCATTGAAAAATAATTGACGCTCTAAGATGAAATTTACAGCCAATGTTTATATACCATATTTAATGAAATCACATTTGTTGATAAAATTTAAACGGAAATAAAGATTTTTATGGGGTAGTGTAGGAGCATGATAGGAGAGTTTTGCATGGTTGTGTATAGGACAAATTCTTTAAAAATCTCTGGAAGAACAGCAAGGCCATGACGGGTCATAGTCTTATGGAAGCATCATCAAAGTTTATTCAAATTTTGATCCCTTGGGGTAAGTTGGAGCCACTATAAGAAATAAAATTTTAATTTGGTAATATAAAGGGAAAAAATCTGATGCTGTGCCCTTTATTATTGATAATAAAGCAATATAAGCTGCAATTTTGATGTCAGAAATTTTTGTTGCAAAATTGTAATTAACTATGTCAATGTTAGAAAAAAAAATATTTGTAAACATCTGTTGTTCATATTTGCGATGGAAGAACTATTTATAAGCTCTGATTGAAGCAAAATTACATTATTGTCGTCCTGTACAATATTGATTTCTAATATAATACTATATATTCGATTGTACAGAGCACAATCCTACAGCGCACGATCGAAAAATCAGGGTTTCATTAGAAAATACGCGAGTATTATTTCGAAATAAAAGGATTAAATAGACAAGGTTGGGATAAAACTTATCATATTTTTACTCCACTATCTATTTTGTTGTCATTTGAAAAATTTCAACGCATTTGCTTAATATTTGGCAGTTTCCCGGGCATTTGAATTGGGAAAGTGGTCAACACAACACACGAAAATGGCGAAGTTTGATGACATTAGGGCGCATAGGAGAACAGTTCAGTTTGATTTAGATATAATAATGACGAATTTAGAGACTTTAAATGACTACAGAAGATAAGAATATATAAATATCACTAGATCTTTAGTATACAAGTGAAATGGGAGTTTTCTAATTATAAGTGGAAGCTTTTTGATTGAGTCTCCGGGAAGAACAACACATATGGACAAACATCGACTGGCATAGCAAAATATGCTGTCACGGAAGATTTTCGCCTATTTAGTTAAATGATAGTGAGAGTGCTGTCCATTTCTTACTTATAAATCTTCAGAAGGTTCCATGTGTGTGCGAGATTTTTTATGGAGGAATAAAGGTAAACTCGAGTTATATATCTAGGAAATTCCGAATTTACACATGTAGGTGTGCAATATCCACACCTTTTTGAGCAGAGAAAAAACGTGACGTTGCTTTAGACACTTGGACGTTATCAACCATGCGCCGTAAGGCGATACTACACATAGCAAAAAAAAACATATTTTCTTTATTTGAGCATATATCTATTTGAAATTTGTCAGGTATACTGATGAAAAAATAAGTACTAAAGAGTAGTGAAATTTTTAGATCGATGAGAATCGATTTTAGAATAATGATTATTTTTCACTCTAGACAACTTGTTCATGATTTTACCGGGCAACCCTCGTATAAACATGTAGTTGTTGATAATGCATTTTATCTATTTTTTTTATTCTGGTTTTGCACTGTTATAGAAAATGAATCAATAGGTATCTAAACAAATTAATGTATTAGAATATTAGATAATCAATGAAATAACAATTGGTATACACGCTATTTGATACACGTACGTGGAGTAAAGTTATTAAATAATGAATGTGAAATAAGTCAACGATAAAGAAGGGTGCACTTGGATGGCCTTGTTAAATAAAAATGTGGAATTTAAACATACAATAATCCCCTTTTTAGCATTGATTTGGAAGTCAATAAAAAAGATCAGCGAAAGATAAAAAGCATATGTTGAATATCATATACAGAATAGTATTTTTTTCAATTCTTGAAAGTGGTCGTGGTAGCCTAGTAATGGGGCGTTCGCTTCGAAATCGGGAGACCAGGCTTCGATACTCGTTCTCTGCGCCGCGTCAAACCTAAGACGTAAACATAGGTAATAATTTTCTTCGCTAAGCGCCCGGCATTAGAAGACAGTGTCACGGGTCTCTCGGCTGAGTCCTTAAAAACAGAGGTCCCCTTTCACGATGACACGATAAAGAACACTCGATGCTCAATGGTTTTTAGTGCCGAGTAAATTTCAAAAATATGAATCCCTTCACTGGTATAATATATAATATAGAAGTGAAAAAAAAGTAACATAAAATCAATTTTATAATGCAAGAAAAACAGGAGTCCAATAAACCATAATGCTTAGGCCAGGCCATCTTTCAAAAAAAATGTATGGTTGCACTCTCCCTACCGACTTGCTAAAAATTGCCCGACTCAAAACTTTTTTTAACCTCCAGGAAGTATTATTTTTATGCAGTCCGGAAAATAGATTTGGAAAATTCAGCATTGATTCTAAAAATTTTCTTCCAAAAAAAATTCTCACCTACCTACCGACCCATTTTTTTCATCCTGAGACGGGATACGGCAAGCAAACATTATTCTAAAGTTGGTCCCATCTTTGAAAAATTGTTTGGTTGCGCTCTCCCTCCCGACTTGCTAAAAATGACGCGACTCAAAACTTTTTTTTTACTTCCAGGAAGCAATTATTTTTTATGTATTTCGGAAAATAGATTTGGAAAATTCATGATTGATCTTGAAATTTTCTTCGAAAATTTTTTTTTACCTACCTACCGATCCATTTTTTTTTTTTCATCCTGAGTCAGGATAGGGCAAGCAAACATTATTTTAAAGTTGGCCTTACATAAGTTTATTCTTTAGCATTCTCGCCCAACCGTAACCGTAAGGATTTTGGTTTAAACAAACCTGAATTCACACTACAATGGGATGCTGAATATAAATATCATACAAGCTATTTCCTTGTTCTGTAGGTTCTTTAAAGACATTTTCAAGTATACATGCATAATTTAAAACTTTATATTTTGATTTTATCTCTAACTTTATCCCAAAGAACTTAATTTATTCTACAGAAGTCAAGAGAAGTCTTAGATATGACAACAGACACGGAACGATAGTGGACAAACGGACAGACTAGGGGAAAATTGTTGAAAAGTTGTCCTGTGCCTCTGGCTTCCGTTAGCTTCTTATACAGCCCTTTCATAAGTAATCTAAGTTTGCAAGATACACAGCTCGCACAAATAATCAGAATATACAAAAAGGTACGTTAGATCTTTTCAAATTGTGATTCAGATATTTGCAATAAAAATGGGGTTTTATTGGAGGGAAATCCTAAACTTATTAATATTTTTTCTTAGTCTTGAATATTGTCATTGATTCATAGATTGCTGTAAACCTTCTCTCGTACGATGCCATTCAATCATTGTTTATGGAATAAATATCATTTTATGAATTATCAAATATTAAAGTACATATATTTTTTTATAAATAATAAAGCTAAAAAGATACAATGATTCATAGAAATGATGAAATACAGATTATTTTTTTAAAAATATCCCCCAACATATTGGGAACATATTGATTATTTCCGCGCCAAACATTTAAGTCATTCTTCACTAAACGGAAATCCTACTAGTTGCATCTATGAAAGGTAGCAAGAAAGATCTTCTGCACATTGAACTTTTCCTATTACAGTACACGTGCAGTAGTTGTTACATTTATCTCCTTTCGGGAATATATCACCCTTCTTGTACGTCTGTCCATTGTAGGTACAATCTGAAGAAAAAGAAGAAAAGGATATATAAAAATAGGAAAAAGATATACTCCAATTTATTTACATTTCTTCATATTTCTTAATCTTGATATGTTTTCTTCCAAATGTAGCATTATGCTCTCATAAGTACTTTGCGTGGGATTGGAATGGGGGTAAAATATGAATGCATATATTAAAGAATCTGAGAGACTATGGTCCATTTTCCGAAATTGACATTCCTATTGGTAGGGGTTCACTTCGTGATCGGGAGGCAGAGTTCGATCTCGTCGTTCGCCGCTCCTCGTCAAACTTACGATGTAATTATGGGAAGTAATTGTGCCTTCGCCAAGCTCCAGGCACTAGAAGTGAAAGCCACAGGCCTTTCGGATGAGACCTTAAAAACCGAGGTCCCGTGTCACGGTACATTGTATGCGTTGGCACGATAAAGAACCCTCACTGCTCAATGGCCCTGAGTGCCAAGTATATGTCTAAATTTGAAGCCCTTCACCGTTATATGATGACGTCTTTATATGAGGGAAAATTTCTCGAATGGGACGTAAAACTGCACACAACAAAAAAACAACATTGAGATTAGTAAACAGAGATAAATTGCCGGGTGCAGCAAATGCTCTCCAAAAATTCCAAAGAAATTTTAAAAATTTTAAAATCATATTTTTTTTCAGAGGTCAGTAACGTCAGTAACATCAAAACTTATGACTTTTCTACTAACTTCTTTATTAGAGATAAACGGAGGTCTTCCAAAATCAAATGGATCAAAATATTGCAACAAAACATAACAGAAAAACACAGATACACCTACGATAGGATGAACTCATACAATGCATAACTACATGTACATACCAGGATAGCAGTTGTACATTGTGCACTGGGGAACTCCTATGGTAGTGCAGATGCACTCATTGCATCCATCCCTGGAGGGAAATCGACTTCCAGCATCATACATCTTCCCATTGTGACGACATTCTGTTAAGTTCAATATTTGACATAATATTAATAAAATAAAATTAACTCCAGCCAAATGAGGACGTTCACTGCCCACCATGTGCAGTGGCTGCCAACTATTTAAACACCTTTGAAACTCTTACTGATCATGAATATTTTTGATTAACTAGTTTGTTTTCCATCAGACGATTTAAAACACTTCATAGAGAAATCTGCAATCAATCTCTAGCAGAAAAGAAACGAAAGACGTAGCAAAAAATCTAGAGTTTGTTGATATTGTTAAATATTATGAAATACAGTATAAAACGACGCATTAATATGTTCTTATTTTCTCTTCTCCAGAGTATTATAAATAAGCGATAATCTTAATCAATGCAAGACAGAAAGGGATGACATTCCTGAAATCAGAATATTATCTCAAATTGCACTAATACTAAAATTATCATTACAATGTCTGAAAAGTGGTGGTAACCTCTAATCGACTTTTTATATCAAAATGTGCTTTTGGAGGATGAAAAATGTTCTGACTTATACTAGGATTGATCTAAAAGTAATGTAACGTGTGCTTTTATAATGAGCACCCATCAAAAAATTCAGAAAAACCAGTAACTCTATTTTTATTGTTGCCTGAAAATTTCATTTCGATATATGCACAAACAATACTTAAAAATATTTAAAAATAAACACAAACTCGGACTAGACCTATCACAAACACCAGAACAAAGTCTACACTATGTAAACTTTCGGTTCTCATTTTCGGTTAATCCGCAAACTGTTGGAGTCTCCAACGCGCATTTTTTCCCATGCCATTAATTGATCATCTTCAAATTTCGCTTTAATTGTTTTATTATGAATTACTTGATCTATCCCAAAGTTCACTTATATGTTCTTCCGCCTTTTTCATTACAGATAGCTTCAGATTCGAGAGCAACCGACATTAAAGGGGTGTCTGATCTTAATAATACTGATTTTTTTTTCTCGCCTCTGTTTATCTCTTAACAATTAAACTTCAACATGAATATACTGTACCTTTTAAAAACGCATTTCATTATTTTATGTTTATAACTTTAAAGTATTTTTTTCTCTTCCGTGGCCTTTTCTGCAATGAGTTCTTAATTTATAGCCAAATTGACTGAAAAGTTGCAGCGTTTAGCAAGAAATTTACTTTTTTTCAAATAGGGTTTATTTCTGTGATCATTATAAATGATTCCAAGAGTAGCTTGATTAAAAGCAATCCAAAGCAAGACAATGGAGCATAAGTTAGCAATCAGGAGTATATGAAGGGGGGATAGAAATTACTGTGAAAGAATCCCAAATTTGTGGAGGGATATAAATAGAGCTAGAAAAAATACGTCCAATAATCATTGATAATATTGTTGTCTTGTGGCGATAGGTATAATCTAACTTTGTGCCCAATCTATATTTATGAAGCCTAACATATGTCTGAATGAAAATTTCAGAAAACAATTTCAATAGAGAACATATAAGTACTTGTAATTTTGACTTTGTTGATAGCATCCCATTATTTAAGATTTTAAAGCACTTGTGAGATTCTTAAGGATCAACTCTGTAAAATAGTGAAAATCTAATAAGTACCTTGGAACCTCAAGGAATAAAGGAGGAAACCTTACTTGGATACTGGTGGCACCTTCTATCAGTACACCGTACATTTCCTGAATCACCACACTTACAGACATTACAAGCATCCCCCTTGGGGAAACTGACATCTGGTTCATACACTCTACCAAGGTGAGTACATTGTACTGAAAATATAATGTAAAATCGCCCTGTATAATGTATATTTCAATGCATATACACAATTGTTGTGTCAATAATTTTTTGCCTCTGTGAATTTTAATAGATACTTGAAAGAAAATCATTCTTGAGGAAATAAGTAAACACACATATTATTGTTGTGATCTTTTATGTTTATAATTAAAGCTTTGCATTTGCACATTTTAATAAACAATTTCTGTGATATTTGATGTTTTATATTAAAAGGGACCTTTTACGTGTGAAGAGGCTTGAAATATATACAGAACACTGCTACTTAAAATGACCTCCATTTTCTGGATTTCTGTATATTAACATGATATTAAGTGCAATTCTCTCACTATCCCTCTTCACTGTCGCATACAATAGTTCCTGCAAATTAGTTTGGACCTTTTTAAATTTCAGACTGTTTAGTGCTTTTTTTTAAAGAACATAAACTCTTAATAAGAGAAATAACTCTCGCTAGATTAAATGTCTTTAATTTTTGCATACAATCGTAAGATTAAAAAGGCATTTCAGCCAAATTTAGCCCAGTAAGGAATATATTTGCAAAAATATAGCATTTCTTTTGGAAAATTATTTACATGAAAGGAAATTTTAAATGGAGGAGATGGAAAATGGAAGATTTGGTCCAAACCAGCAGTTTTATTCCGGTATTGCTTGCTTGTCATCTCAGGTCTCTGTTAACTGGTTTCAATTTTATAAGGTAAAAACAAATCTCAAATATTTCAGATGCAATGGAAATTGTATAATAGCGATATTTATTCAAATATGTCATATTTCAGTAAACACTTCAATCTTAATTTATTTATTCTTTCTCTAAATGTTGTTTTCCATTCATTGAAAACAATCGCTATTTGTGTACTTTCTTTTATCAGCATTTTTAGTTTTTTCAACAAGTTAAACAAAAAAAAATTAAATTTAGTTTTAAAAGTACATTCAAATGATATACTCACAGTCAACGGCGTTCAATAATGAAATGAAAATCACAAGATAAAGATTGAAGTATTTCATTCTCGGGAACTCTACGCCACCAAAAATAAAGAAACTTTATAATAATCAACAATTCATATCAACAGTGGGCGTTTGGTGCAATAATTTTGTATACATGAATAGCAAAATGAATAAATTCTAATGCATAAAACCATAGTTGGACAGGTTAACTGTCGAATGTGGTTTTAATGAGAAAATTCACATCTCATTGAAAAAAATTGAAATAATATTTCCTTTTGTAGACGGAAGGTGGTTATACAGATGTATTCATTCTTGTCTGTACAAGATGTAGAGGAGGAACTCTTTGTATAATATCATGCACATGTTGAGTATTGTCACATACTGTCATTAATCATTTTAAAAAATATTCAACAATAATACTTGAGCAAGCGCAATAATTCCTGTATCCTTGTTTAACTTCAAACGTTTTGGCGACGGTGAAATTATTATACATTATGTTAAATCAAACCTGCAAAACGCATCTTGTCTAAACCTGTCATTATGTATATAAAACCTTTCTTAGCATAATGCAATTGATGAAAAAATCCATCAACATTGTTATGATGCCGCCTAAAAATAAATTAAAAATAAAATAAACAACATATTAGGAAAAAAAGGCGAATATACTTAACATCCATTATAGTGAAATATGGAGATAATGAAGAACAGTAATCAAGCTCAAATTAAAGTACATTGAAACAATACAAATCGGGATCAGAGAAACACGACCTCTAAATGCATTAGAGGTGGGATCAGGTAAAGACCTCACGACTGACAGGAGGCAACAGTAACAACAAAGCGAAATCATAGACTGCAGATCCTCGTCACTGGAGGCCTACAAGGTAAGTCCCCGACCCACAATCAAAACCCTCATCAGGAAATAAGTAATTTGGTGCAGTAGGTAAATGTTCAACCTAACTCTCAAAAAGAAGAGTCAACAGGGAAAAGTGTTATAGATTTTGTAAGTCAAGTTTCCAAAAGAAGTATGGAACAAAAATGTACATAGTATTAGTTTAAGTCAATCTATTAGGGCTTATTGTTTCGTCAACAATTACAGGTCCGTTGGGCTAATGTTGAGTCTTGGAATATCTGATAGAGTTGGAACATGCTGTGTCTTAGATCTGAGCTTTGTTTTACATAGATTTTCTCTGCTTCTGAAACAAGCACCTGATCTGCGAACTGATCCCCAGGGAACTGGCTATAAAGGATCAGCAAATCACGTTCGAAAAGCAACATTAAAAAGTATCACCAACATTCAAACAGTGTCTAGAGTTTTATTTGTATGTATTTAGAGAAGTTTCCAAACAAATGTATAGAAGTGTTCAAAATATATACACAACATAAGCCCAGCAGCTAGCAGTTAGAATTATATGGGTGGATTCAATTTGACAAGCTGTATCGCCTTTAAAAAAATCTAAGCTCTGTACAATGTGAGCAATGTATATATCAACCAAACAGTATGATCATTAAACTCATCAAGTAGTAGAGATATGGTCAACAAGTGAAACGATTCTCTCTTTCATCATATCATGCAATGATACTTCTTTGTATGTTGAAATGCAGGTAATCAATGTAACCTGTGCACTCTCGACACATATTCACACATATTCATGCCATTTGTATTTGGGCTAAGGAAGGGATGCGTCAGGTAATTTCGCTCATGCACATCTATATTGACACATCTGCTGAAGACCGTCATCATTGTAGAAATTAATGCTAGTCATTAAGATATTGAAGATTAGATATCCACTTATGTCTTTGTACAAATCTTTTAAGAATCTTATGAGTTATGCATCTTTAACTTATTTTATTTCGTATATTAATAGCGATTCTCTGTAACCACTTAAACTTCTTTGCCATGCATGGTCACCGATTTTGATGAAACTTTGCCCATTATTACAACTTAACACCAGAAACATATATCAAATAAAATTTCGTTGCTATGTGTCTTGGTTGCCATGGTAACAGCCAGAAAAGTTGAAAAATTTGAGATTTTCAGCTACTTTGAATCTTTATTAAGCCTTAATAAAGATTAAGAAAAACAAACAAACTATTCTCACAAAAACATGACACCTTGTTGCAACTTATGCTGTAAAAAAACTATTTAGAATTTATCTCTAAGTAAGTGGTAACCATGGGTACATTTGGAATACATTTTAGATGCTGAAAAATGCTGTAAAACGCTCAATATTCACTAATGATAGATGTTACATGATCAAACTCAATCAACAATTGAAGAAAAACGATAAAAATATTTGACCTTAAGTAATAAGGTATTGGCAATATTATTCTAAAAATAACTTTCATGGTTGCCATGGTAACACAGTGTAACGATGCAAAATTCGTTGCTAAGATTGGGTTAATGCTACTATCTTGAGGAAAAACAATAAAATTCATGACTGGCACATATACATCCTTAGGACCTTCCAACACCGACAACATAAGAACAATTGGGATTAATTGTTACTTTGCAGTGTAACCATGGAAACAACGTACCAGTTGTTTAAAGTGATATTTTCTTACTGCTTTAGGAATTTACTTACCTTTTAATCAAGGAACATATGATTTGACTCACCTTGAATAGTACTTATCTGGTAGAACTAAAGTTGAATATCATATATTGATAAAGTTTGTTGAAAAATACAACACTGTTGCTATGGTTACCAAGAAGGGAAACTGTTCGATTTCGTTAATTTTATTTCAATATTAAATCATATGTGCCAGCTTTTTGCATCCAGTTAGAGATTGGGTGGTAGTCAAAATTGAAAGTCAGGTTAGTTGTTCATATATATCAATCATAAAAGTTTTGGGATTCTACATACAAGGGTACGTATCCAAGGAAACAGAATATTTTTTCAGATTTTTATGCATATTATTTTGGCTAATTTCCATAGCAACGCTCTATTTAAAGAACCGAATTTGAATTTTTTGAAATGTGAAAATTAGGGTCACACCAATGCCTTTAAAAATTTATCATCAGTTATATAGAAATATGCTTTGTAAAAAGATAGGATAAGATTAAAATACTAAGAGAGTAAATTTAAAATCCCTTTGTGGTATTAAAACCATGGCAACCATTGCCAACTTATAAGAAATATCATATTTCGTCCTTGGTATAGGTTGCAAGGATCTCTTGTCTATTATTTGCTTGCATTTCAACCTATAATTGTTTTTATTCTTAAGTGTATGACTTTATAAAATTAAATGAACAAAATTATTACTTTTGAATACTTTGTTTCCATAGTAACGTATGTAATAGTTGATTTACCAAACATGTTTATCATGCATTTAAGACATCAGGCCTTCAACTTTCAGAAACAGTCATTGCCACTCGTTTGCTTTGCTGCAAACGTTAACTGTGGGACTCTGAACATGATGAAAAATGCCATTTTTCAGAATTTAGGACATGTTGCTATGGTAACCAAGACACGTAGCAACCAATTTTTGCCTGATTTGAGTTTAAGGTATCAAAGACTTTTATCATAGAGAGTTTGGAGAAATTCTGAGACTATGCGTGCCACAGCTCCTATATAAAAGTTAAAGTCATTACAGAGAATGGCTCTTAAGATTTTTGAAGTATTTTCTTTTTGGTGCTTTTAATTTTATCTGATCTCTTCACAGCATTTAAAATTTAAAAAAAAATGTGCCGTCCTAAAGATTTGATAAAATATGTGGAAGTTTAATGGTCAAAAACTCATTTATTTGTCTATGGGGACTTGATACACAACAACTTATTCTAGTTATCTTTCTTTATCTTTTTTCCAGCTTATATGCATTAACACTTTAAATATCTCTCAAGAAGAAAACCTTTTTTTTTTTACTTTTTTCAAAATATTTCAATGAAAAAGCAAGAAAAAATGTAACAAATATTGATGTATCTCATAAATCCCAAAAAACTACAATTGTAAATAGGGCAAAGCCACAGACCTCTGGACACATCAAGGTGCGATAAAGTTTTTTAGGGAGAGTAAGCATTCCTCGTCGACAGTTCACATCCTCTATGACCCACATTAATTGATTAGGTGAATAGAGAATGTTAGAAATAAACATGAAACAAGATGAGCATTCAATGACACAATTATTTCTCTTCATTTATATCAAAAAGAATAGAATAATTGAATGATTAGAAACTAATGTACATTCATCTACCAATCTTTTTTATTGGAAAAAGCGTCTTTGTCCTCTAGGTAAGATCCAAGATATTAGTATGATTGTATCATGTCTGAATTCAACATATTTGCTATGAAATTTATATCATCCAGGGTGATTGATTGATTGTTGTTTCTTATCCCTTGTATCAGACGTCACAATAAAGCACGGAAAGGCTTCAAATTAAGACCTTTTCTAGACACTCAGTGCCATTGAGCAGTGAGGGTTCTTTATCGTGCCAACGTCTATCGTGAAATGGAATCTCGGTTTTTAAAGGTCTCATCCGAAAGACACATGACATTCACTTCTAGTACCTGGGCTTGGGGAAGGAACAGTCACTACCTATGATTACATCTAAGGTTTGAAGCGGCGACAGAAATAAGAATGGAACCCTGAACCACCCGATCACGAAGCAAGCGCTGATTCCCACAAGGCTAACGTGACCGGTCAAGGGGTGATAACAATAAGATGAAAAATGTCATTAAATAAATAACCGTCATTTTTTAAATGGTGTTGCATACGGATAATAGCCAACCTTGGAGCACGTGACCATGACATGGTCGCTTTTTAGAATTTGCCACCTGCAAAAATAAGTCAGGGTAAAAACTGATGGCAATATTCCAAAGATTTCAGTTCAGAATTGCGTTAGTTCTAGGTATTTTAAGGAAAGATACAACTCATTTCTGGGGAAAAGTAAGATTTATATATTCATTTATTTTTGAAAATAATGTAACATTGATAAATTATTAAAGCCATTGATAAATGAAAATCATAATTGATCATTTTGTAGCATTTAATAGCAAAAAAGTGTAGTTCCTTACGTCATTAATTTACTCCTAAAATAGCAAAATATGATTTATCAAAAAGGACTAAAA